TTGAATCTTTATCATGAAGGTAATAGAATTTCTATGGGATATTTTTTTGTGACAAAGAAAAAAGAATGTTGTTTCCCCCCCCCAGTGTTTCATCTTGAAAGCTGACTGAAAGTTGAATATATATGGATTAACTGAATAAAAATCTTAATATGAAGATTATGATATAAAAACTAAAGTAGAAGCTAATGGATAATATACATTATTGAAAATCACTTTAAGAAATGGTAGGGAATAGTTCAACTATCTACCATCCTAATAAGACCTTTTTTAGTTCTTCCGATAATATTTAGTTTGTTGGTTAATAAAATGAAAACATATGTCCATAATTTCTTGATCCATTTTAAGAAATAGAATTAAACTAACTTTACAATCAATTTCAATCGGTATGTTGTTGTACTTTTCTTTTTTCGAAAACGCCATCATACATGTCACTTACTTATTGAACTTTAAACATACAAGATACAATAAAGTTTTAAGTGAACAATTTAAATAGTAAATAAAAAAATGAATATTGACTAGAAATGAAATTCAGAACGTATGTTTTGTCCAATTTAAGACTCGTTAGCTGTATCACAAGTTTGATGTTCAGTTTGGTACAATACAAAGTGATAGGAAATATAAATTTATGAATTTTGTCTTTGAAAGTAAATCAATTTTCACTTCACTTTCCAGTTTATAATTAATACATTATTATAAGTTTTAATTCAAAAACATTACCAAACTTTATATTTGAATTTCCATTTAAAGAGAACAAGAACAAAGATTAGTGTAGAAGAATATAAATTCAGTTTATTTCATTAGGTTTTCATCAGCTGCTTACAACTTAAAATATTTGAAAATCAGAGTTACTACAGTTATTGACATACTTATACATAAGAGGGTAATTAAAGATGAATAAATGTATCATGATGTAGCGAAGATTTTGATAGAGTTAATGAGTTCATTAAATTTTGTTTCGAATGAATAAAGTTTGGGAAGGAAGGTTACAGAACATTGAAATAGTGATTAGAACTCATGGAAAAAACATACATATTAGACGATTATGTAATGCGTACTTCAAACACAAGGGCTAGAGCCTCTTTCTCTATTTGACTGTGCTTTCTTTCTGCTGAAGTTAATGTGCGAGATGTGTGCATAATAGCTTTCCCTGTTGCGTCCGGGAACTGATGTGAAATGACAGCACTGAGTCCAAAAGCTGAAGCGTCTGCAGTGACATTGATAGGCATGGACGGATCGTGTCAGTAATAGTTCAGAGCTTATAATTGTTTTCAGCTTGTAAAATGCAGCTTCACATTCTTTTGTCCAGTTCCAGCTGGTGTTCTTATTCAGAAAATGATTTAGCGGGGCGTGTATGTCATGCATAGACGGAACAAAAGTAGTAGCTAATTAGTCCCAGGAATGATCGTAGCTTGGAGATATTAGTGGGAGTCGGCATCAGTCTTATAGCTCGGATGTTTTCAGGATCTGGTCTGCGACCTGCGGCATCAAAAATGAATCCCAAGTATTTTACTAACTTCAAAAAAAGCTGGCATTTTTCTGCACGTAATCGGAATCCGTTATCGCTGACACGTTGTAGTACAGATGTCGCGCGTTCTCTAAACTGTTCTAACGATTTGGCAACAATTAAGATATCATCGAGATAAGTTGCGACCCCCGGGATACCCGATAGAATGGTATCCATTAGTTGCTGAAAAATAGATGGAGCTGTTTTACCACCAAATGGTAGGCGATTTTACTGAAACAAGCCACGACGAGTATTTATGGTAAGTAAATCTCTTGAATCCTCAGCCACTTACACTTGTTGATAGGCATCAGCGGGATCCAGCTTTGCAAAGAACTTCCCACCATTTAACATCGTGAACAAATCCGCAGCGACTGGCAGTGGGTAATGATGCTGTTCGAGAGCTGCGTTAAGACCTGTGGAAAAGTCTTCGTATACTCGGATTGTGCCATTAACCTTCTTAATAACCACAATGGGTGCTGCCCAGGCAGAATAAGAAACAGGCGTAATAACTCCCTATAGTTGGAGGCGGTTAAGTTCTTCATCAACTTTCGATAAAGCTGCGTACGGCAATGGTCTCTTTGGACGGAAGACAGGTTTAGCTCCAGGTTTCAACCTAAGTATTGCTTTCATAGCAGTGCACTGACCCAACGCAGGCTGGAAAATGGTTGAAAACTCTGTTATTAGTTCTTTCGAATATGCTTCAGGTTCATGAGGTTGTTTCACCAGATGGCATACAGTGCTTAACGGAACGTCAGCTAAATGTAGCCGGTCAATCCAGTCTAAACCAAGTAGATTAAGATCAGCTGGTGTGATGCAACATACCCCGATAAACGTCGAATCGTGAAAAGAAACTTTACAATCTAGTTGTCCCAACAAACGTAGATAATTACCGCATGCTGCTCGAGGTTTCTGTGTTTTTGGCACCGTGCGTGGTCTTCCCATTCTGATCCAATATTTTCGTGAGAGAATTGTTACATCAGATGCAGTGTCTATTTGCAATGTAGACGAGCGCCCATTAATATTAAGGGTAATAAATTTCCTCTCACCTGGGGTTGAGTTCTGACAGCTTGCTATTAGACTCAACGAACTCGTGTTGGATCTAGGCGTAGGCTTTCTTGGACCTCTGGAGCTGCTCGGCTTTTTTTTTCGACAAAAACCATCTTTATGACCCACCGCATTACATTTCCTGCACCGATGTTGTTTAATATGGACAGCTTCGAACAAAATGCCTGTTGACCTGAACTAGATGTTTTTGGGGCAGAATTATGCGAGTTGGGTGGTTGCTGAACTACATGAACTTCAGTACGATCTGGACCATCGTAGTGTCACGCTGTAGATTGACTAGACGTTGATATTCGTTTGCAATATCATTAAGAGTTAGTTTTGGGTCTTGGTCCAATCGACTTAGCAAGCGTGTTCTAATGTCACTGAACTTCTGCGATTGAAGGCTGCAGATGAGAATGAGGGCTTTGAATTGGTCTTCGGTAGGCGACTTCAACCGGAAGCGTTCACATTCTCGGTTAACGATACCCACATGTGTGAGAAAATCATCATCTTCGTTCATAGTGAGGTTCAAACATCGATAGCGCGCATTGAATAGTGAAGAGTTATCTCCGAATTGTTGGCTCAATGACTGGACAGTGTCCGGGAATGAGAGATCGCGCGGGCTTAGAGGCAGAATTAGGTTGCAATACCTGTCTAGTTCAGTAGGACCCAACTTTTGAAGCAGCAAGTGGACCTTCCAAGCATCATCCTGGTTAGCAAAGTCAAGTCTGAATAAGTCTTCGTAACGTCGGAACCATATATCAAACGTGACATTGGATTCCGGATCGTAATGAAACACAGCGATACTGCTAGCGATACCATCAACTGATGGTGCAGTAGTAGTAGGATTAGAACTGCTTGGTTGAGTATTAGACGTAAGCTTTGTATCTGCTAACATCTGAATAAGTTTCATCTGCTGCTCAAGTATCAATTCAAGTTTAGAAGGATCCATGTTTCCGAAGCTACCCTCGCCAAATTTGCTAGGGTTGAAGATATCACGAGTTCACTTAATCTGCGAACGAGAAACAAGACTCGGTGACCAAAGACCAGTAAGCTAGCTATTGATGCATCCCAGCCCCGCTAACTAGAGGGAAAAGTCCAAGCTTGGAATGGTGAAGTATATTCTGCAAACAGCCAGAAACGAGCGATAACAACAAACACAATTCAAAACGTATATATACAGTACAAAATCGTCCTTGGGAATAGTTACGAAATAGCATGCCAAGAGACGCAACGGACCAATAGCATTTAAGGTATTTCCCAGTGACAAATACGACATGAAAGTGAAAAGAGCACCACTGATGCGAAAACAAAGAAATTTAAATTTTCTAAATAAAATTACAAAATTACGTCCTTTCTCAAGTGAGTTCTGGGGATCAAACGTCCCCAACATATTCATCCTTAATCACTTTCTTATGTATAAGTATGTCAATAACTGTAATAACTCTGATTTTCAAATATTTTAGGTTGTAAGCAGCTGATGAAAACCCAACGAAATAAACTGAATTTATATTATTCTACAATCTTTGTTCTTGCTCTCTTTAAAATAATAAAGGGAATTATGTGTATGAAATTTCCATTTACTTCTATTGAATATACTTCAGTTATTCAGTTAACAAATCATAAATGTATATCAGTCTATATTCTCTTTAAAAAATTATAATAAAATGAAATATTACTTAGATTAAGCAAAATACTACTGAATATTTGATTTATAAGTAAAATGTATTGTTATTGTTAAATTAATGTAAAACACCTACTTAATGATCTACAATAAATTTTGTGATTACGATAAATCTATTTAAAGAAAATCAAGAGCAATGTAAAAAAACAGGTTTCAATATCATCTATTGCTCTCCGATTTGAATCAGTTGATTTTAATAGAAAGTAATGTGAATAATATTATATAAGTAATATATAAGTAATATAAGTAATGCATAGTTTGGTTATTTCTGTTGCTATACCACTTACAAGAGAAGAATTTTCATTTCAATAACGTATCTTAATTAAGCACAATGAAGAATTTACAATGAAATATTCTTTTAAATATCCATCTCATTAATTTTTGTGTTGCAACATGCAAGCTATTTCAATTTTGAGACAAAACGATTTTAAACAAATTTGATGAAAGCATTTCGATGATTTATACTAAATGATTAATATTTCAAAGAGTAGAGAAGAAAACGTACTTTTTTTCAAAGTTAAGTATAACTTTAAATAAAGTTTCCTGACAAAAATGATTTGGTAACCAGTAGTTCTTTAGCTGAAGATTTGTTGAAATGACAGTGTGGCTGTATTGTTTTATGAGAAAGGAAACATTGAGTTTATGAGTTAACATTACATCCAAAACATAGAATAATGCATAATTTTAGTCGACATTATTATGTAACTATTGTAATAACTTAATTAAGTCACTTGTATTCTTTTCTAATTTTTTACGTCTGAATAACAGAAGATGATATTTCAATGGCTGGTGGTGACAGAAACTCGGAACCTACAATTGTACTGAATCCAGGAGATCCTGGACCATTAGATGTGAATTTTGGAGAATTGCTTTATTCTCGTTGTTCAGTACTTGATAGTAATCAATATTCATACAGATGGATACAACGTGCACCTGATGGGACTATAAAAGAAATATCTTCTGACGCTAGACTTTATATAACGAATTTTGGACCGGAACATTTACAGTATCCATTACGATGTGAAGTTACGCGATTATCAGATGATGAAACTTTTGAGAAAGTTTTAAATCTTCGACTAGGTAAGTTAAACGTTATTTCATTATTATAAATAATTTATATATCACTTATTCAAAATGGTTTACAAATCAATTTCAACTATGTTTTGATTAGGTTTTCTTTAATTCAAGTAATTTGGCTGGAAATTACACCTATGAACCTGTATAACCGGCAAATCGACTTAAGATTCTCCTTATTCATTAAGTTGCTCAGAATATATGAAAATGAAATCAATATAATAATGAATTTTATCACAATGTTATCAATCGATATGTATTCAAAATGTTTTTTAACAAATAATCATTTTCAGAAGAGGTTTTGTTAGGATTTTAGTAATTTAATAATTGAATTCATGAGTCAATTAAAGATTGATCACCATAAAAAACGTAGAATCACTGGACAGCCGTTTCATTCTAGTATAAGACTCCTCAGCAGTGCACATCTATAGTCCTGCATGTGGTATTCCAACCCAGAACTTATCGGTCCAGTGCACGAAAGATTAATTTTTAAACCACTGAACTAACAGGCATCCAATGGTCGTCTAATGCTTCCAAGTTTTTCATGCTGGTCTAGCTTTAAATGACTTATGAATTGAACTATCAAATAATCATTCACTATTTAATCACATTGAAATTACTCCTCAAAACCGATTAAATAATTTACATTAGTTCATTAATATCAAAACATATTTTTTTCAACAACAAATAAGCATTTCTATATTATTATCTTATAGAAAATTAGGTTAGAAGGTTATATTACAATTGTATATACATACAATTTATATAAACTACATTAAAGTAGATGTGTTCGTTTTGTTTACTATTAATTTAAATAAACATCAACAAAATAATGGTATATCATAATCAACTATGAAAATTATAAGGTTTCATAAATTTCAAATAAATAATCATTATTTTAAGCAATCATACATTTAATCGAATAGTTTCATAGTATTTAGGTACCAAGGTTAATGTAAGACTTTAAAGAGGAAGAAATGTATTTATAAAATGTTATCGAATAAATTTCGAAGTAAATTCAACATTTCGTCTGGCAGTCCCTTTTCTTCCTTGAAAAAGCATGGATCAGATTGTCAGATGAAATGTTGGATTTACTTGAAATTCATTCGCTAAACGTTTACAAATACATTCTTCCTCTTCAATCTTATATTTAATCAATAATATATATATATATATAGCTTTGATGATTTTGATTTTGATTATTACCCTGAAGAAGTCCAGACAAGTTAGCTGGACGAAACGTTGGAATTATTTACATTTCAATCCCTGAGATTATTTCAAATTATAATTTTCACATATAATGATATACATAGTAATGTTTTTTTTTTGAAAATTAAAAATCAACAACAAACTTTATAGACAAACAGTAATATGGATAGTAACAACGAATATAGTACTAACATGAATTTATCAAAATAGTTGAACTGAATAACTTACTGATCATTATTTACAATATGTACTAACATTAAATGAATGTTTTAGTTTACTATCAACATTTTCTAATGTTTGTTTTGAAAAAAAAACAAAACTGTTTTCTTTATCATGTGAATGTTCTAAAAAGAAATATACATGTATATATATACATTTATTCATTTAGGCAAAAGATGATAATCATCCCCTATACACATAATTCATTTGTGATCTTACTAACTGCATGTAGATTGCATGAAATTAATTTTACTAAATTTGAAAAGAATAAAGAACCATTCAAAGTACCAGATTATGAATTTGGTTGACAAGTTTTTCTTTCATTTGTCATCATAATTATTACTAATTTATCATGAAGTGATCATTTTATAATAATAATAATAATAATAATAGAGAATTATTTTTTCATATTAGAACGTATTTTATTAATTATCCAGCATCATCAGGTGAACTAAGTACTGATGATGAATATAAAACATTAAATTTAACTATCAAACCATTACCGAATGAAGATTTTCGTCAAGGAACTATAATGAGACAATGTTTATTTGAAAATGATCCTGAAATCAATGAATTATTTGATTTTCGTTGGATTGATCAAAATGGTCGTATTGTAACTAATGGTGATACATTGTATTTATTGGTGGGTTATCTATTATATTTCAGTTTCTTTTTTTTTATTACTTTATATGTATATTTCATTAAAACAAATAAAAAAAAGTTTCTTTTTTTCAGTGTTTACTTTCACTAGACAACAAATGATTCAAATTTTGGTACAACTAAACATTTTATGAACATAACAATAGTTGACATCATGAATCAATGAAAGCTAAACCGCAATTGAAAAATCTCAAAGCATTGGATGAATGTAACGTCCTATTGTGGGACTTAATAAATAATTTAAGAAAAGTTAAAATAGTTTAATATGTTCGGTTAATTTTAAAATGAACTAAATTTCATACTGTATAACATAAAATTTTTATTTTGGTAATTCCACTAAACAGGTAGCCATAAATCAATTGTTGCTTGGTACATTTAAGCTGATTTTCCAGAAAACATCAATAATTACATAAAACGTAACTTTTACTTCTATCATTTGAATAATTCGTTGTATTTAAGTGAAAGAAAGTTTTAAAAAAGACACATGGTGCGAATTTCGTCCCTTTAAAAAGAAACGGAGGAAATGTAACGATTAGATTTTTATACTGAAAATCCTATTTAGAAATAAATTGATTCAGTTGTTATTATATTATTATGATCATTACACTGTGAACAGTTAGTTGATATATCACGTGATATCCACATTTACATTAGTCAACTTCTCAATTTCAGATTTGACGATAGAGCTATTCCAGTCATGATTGGTCTCTATTTATATTACCATGAAATATAGTAATGTAACTCGATCGATAGAATTCAATCATTACTAAAGAACTAGATATACATAACATTAATCACTACTCAGTAATCAATCAATTGCAAATTAGTGCTCTATCAGCTTCTAGACACTTTAATCACTGACAGATTATCTTTTTAAGAACGGTATATTTAAATTTGGATGCAGTTGGACGATCTAAACTTCGCAGATGATCTGGCCCTTCTATCCCAAACGCAACAACAAATGCAGGAGAAGACGACCAGTGTAGCAGCAGTCTCAGCAGCAGTAGGTCTCAATATACAGAAAGGGAAAAATAAAATTCTCCGATACAACACAACATGCAACAATCGAATCACAATTGACGGAGAAGATCTGAAAGATGTAAAAACCTTTACATATTTGGGCAGCATCATTGATGAACACGAAGGATCTGATGCGGATATGAAGGCGTGGATCGGTAAAGCAAGAGCAGCATATTTACAACTGAGGAATATCTGGAACTCAAAACAACTGTCAACCAACATCAAGGTCAGGATTTTCAATACAAATGTCAAGACAGTTCTACTGTACGGGGCAGAAACCTGGAGAACTACAAAAACCATCATCCAGAAGATACAGGTATTTATTAACAGTTGTCTACGCAAAATACTTCAGATCCGTTGGCCGGACACTATTAGCAACAACCAACTGTGGGAGAGAACAAACCAGATCCCAGTGGAGGAAGAAATCAGGAAGAAGCGCTAGAAGTGGATAGGACACACATTGAGGAAAGCATCCAACTGCGTCACAAGACAAGCCCTCACATGGAATCCTCAAGGCCAAAGGGAAAGAGGAATACCAAAGAACACATTACGCCGGGAAATGGAAATAGACATGAGAAAAATGAACAAGAATTGGATGGAACTAGAAAGAAGGCACGGGATAGAATGGGTTGGAGAATGCTGGTCGGCGGCCTATGCTCCATTGGGAGTAACAGGCCTAAGTAAGTAAGTAAGTAATATTTAAATTTCTAATTTACACCATTTTGTCAAGTTATTCAGATCATAAATACTTTACTACAAGTAAGGTGTCATATTATAAATGGGTAAAATAACAATGATATCTTACAAAAAACCTAACTGTTTAGCTGACAATATTCGTAACATAATAGTTTTTTTCTGTTTTCCCGTGCGGTAATTTAACATGTTACTAAAATCTGTGTCTTGCATAAATTACTTTGCATGATTAACATGATTATGAAATGATAGTGCTTGCTTCATTATTCTAATTGTTACATATTCTATTATTATTTAGTGTATTTCTATAATTACTAAATTAGTTCATTTTACTAACCAAAATATTTAACCAATTTGTTTTTGGTTTTTTTCCCTACAACAATCATCATTATTGTCATCATGTATTCGGTGATCATCTCCTCTCATTTTATTCATCTTAACTGTTAATACTGCATTCATCATCATCATCATCATCATCATCATCATTATCATTCATTCACTCATTATATCATACATTTATTGAAATCTATCGTCATAACAATCTATTATAATCCATTGAAAAACAAAAAAAAAACATTACATTACCATAAAAAAATCGTATTAAAGATTGAAGATCCGAGTGAATTGAGCAATTATACATGTGAAGCAACCAATCGTCAAACAGGTGTAATTTACCAAGCCAAATACCGTGTATCTATGCTGAACGGTCAACAAGGTATGATGTAATAAATAAATGACGTGTGAAGACACCTAATCAAAGCTATTGAGTATTTATTGATAAATAAGAATAGACTGATTTTACTTATCTTTTGTTATGAAGATGTAACAATTTAATAAAGTTTAATTTGGAATCTATGATTAAACGTACAATTTAGAAAGTAAAAGAGATTCCAGTATCACTTTAAATGTTATAAATAGTAATGTGTTTGTTCACTAAACTACCAATTGACAAGTTTATCAATATGCATATCAATAAGCCTTTGAATAAATAATTTCATATCACTCTTTGAATGGAATAAGCTGACATTTATTGATTTTTATTTATTTATTAAGACACATAAACATCAGTACAAGGAAACATTTAGTATATATGTGCTACACAAATCATTCGATTTATTTAAGGGTTGGAATACTCCTTGGGCGCCAAAATCGAAGCAGATAGTTTTCTTAGAGGGCCACACCGCTGACATAATATTATTTACTTT